AAAAAAAAAAAAAAAAGAAAAAAAAAAAAAAAAAAACAAAAAAAAAAAAAAAAAAAAAACGAAATCTGGCGGCGCCTCCGCCCCTTTCGGCTATTTAGAAGATAGCCTAAATGTCTTAAAGACAACTGCAGGGTTAGAAACACCAGTGAATAAATGTGCTAGGAAAATGATGAATGACACTAGATTTTTTTCAAAAAAATGATACAGAAATATACACTACAAGTGACATTCTGGCGTGTTTTAGCTAAGACATTTATCACTTCTGCATAAAAAAAGCCTCCGCACGTGACCTCCGCGTGTGACGACTGGATGGGAAGCTGGGCCGCGATCTAACGTTATGAATTAAACATGGCACTCACAATGCTAGTTTTGATGACGGAAGAGGGTTAAAAAAGGTATATATTCGAATGCCATATGACTGTATAATTTATGGCCTGCTCTGCCGGTCCAAGAGACCAGGAGGCCGGCAAGGATTTAGAAAAAATAACGGCCATCGGAGGAGAAATGCGAGCGTTTGGTGGTGTGGGAGCAAACTCAGTGGAGGAAACAGCAGCAGCCGCGTTGCGTGAGTGGGCACCGGCCGTTTAGTACATTTAATGTTAGCTAACGTCAGCCTCACACACCATTGTAAGTTAGCAATCATATATCAGACTATAACGTAAAGTAGTATTGATGAATATAGTAACCGGCTTACTGGCGCGACTGTTGATAGCTGATTCATAACAGAGAAACTAATGCGCCAAGCTTATCAGCGTATCTCGGCCGTTCACCTAATGCCAACTCACACTACGTCTTACGCGTGGCTGTGTACGGAGGGGAGACGCGAGATGACGGTCTGATACTTGACGATCTTGGCTGGAGAAAGCGTTGCTGCGGCCTCCGTTGACTATGCGTGTTGTAAATTGCTTGGATGCGAAAGCAGGTGTGGTAGTCGGGGAGCGGGCACACTGATTGCAGGCAGGCTGAGGTGGAGGGTGAAACGGGAGGCAGGCAGCTGCAGCCACCACGGCCGCACCAAACAACACAAGACAGGGGGAAACAAACACAAAGGAGACGGCTGGAGCAGTACAGTCCACACAGCGTGTACCTAATGCAAACTCCACACTACGTCTGTACGGCCTGCTGTGTTACCGGCGGAGGGAGAGAGGCAGTAAGCCGAAGGCGGTGGAGAGGAGATTGTAATACGGGTTTCCTGCTAAAGTTGCTGGAGGGTATGTGCTGCAGGGAGGGTGGATGCACAACGCCACCCAGGAACGGAAAGGCTAGCTACGGGCGTCCTTTCCGTGGAGGCCGCAAACTGTGGGACTCGATGATCGCTGGACAGGCTGGAGTTGTGCCACCTAGTTACTTAGCTCACCCATGTTGAACAAATGGTGAAACTGCCGTAATGTTAAAATTACTCTCTCTCTCGGAAAAAGAATACCAGCCCTCACTAAATCAACAACCGCTCAAACCAACTACAAACTGACTACCGCGGATTGGGCAGAGAACGAGTCCGCAAGAAAGTTGCTCCCCCATCGACTAATATGACGGTTTGACGGCTTTAAAAAAAGCAGTTTTTAGTAGCAGGAGCTCAAAAAGGCTCCTTTTCCTCGAATTTCCTTGCCCTTGACTGTCTTTGCTAAAACATAGTCAAATCCTGCAGTTAACATTCTTAATTTTAATTTTCAGCAAGGATTGAGCTATAAATGCTAGGCTAAAAAAAAAAAAAACCTGCAGGTTGCCCTGCTTTAAGGGAGAAGCCGCGCCTTAATCGCCTCATTATTTTGCCATGGCGTGGGGTCTGCGATAAAATCCAACCAACCTGGACACGACATGCAGCCTCCCCAGTGCTGCTACCACGTGGAAATATTTCACGTCCCCGTTCACGCGACCTGTCGCAGGCCAAAGTGTGCCGTCCACGTGTGCGCAGAACCCGCTGCCCGCGGGCCATGCTCCCAAAACTTCCCGGCAGTTTAACATTCAATGTCGCGATCAGCCATGTTAATGCTCCGATGCATGCTGTTTCCGTTATTACCCGGGTCCCCTTGCTGTGTTTGATGAGGTTTTCTGCCATTGTAAACAGTGTGCTATCACGAAACGTCAGGGGTCACCAGTGTAGGGGCGATGAAAGGGGCAGGAATGCAGCGAACGCAGACTTGGTTGCCTGCCTGTAAGTATTACTAACATAAATTATGCTGAACAAGGGCTATTAAAGCTGAACATCGCCGACAATGGTCCTGCTATTTAGGCATAGGGCGGTATCATTTTTTTCATACCGTCACACTTGCTGACATCATACGTGGTATACGGTACTAAGGTCTTATGACTTGGGTCGGACCTTGAGTGAAGTGCATCGAACGGGAGGCCGGCAATAGACGTTCCGACGTATTTATATGTTCGGTGTAAAAATGCAGCCGAGCCGGTAGAACCCTCCAAAGTGCCCGCGACGTTGCGCGCAGTGCAAACAGGCTGCATACATGACACATTGTCAAATGGCACTTTCGAGATCGGATACAGGACGCGTTTGTAATTCCAACGTTGTTTCCATTGTGAGCCTAAGTTAACAATATATCATCATACATAAAGATTTTCCCGGGAGTAAATACTTGACCTATTGAATAGATTTGCTATTATTCACACTAACTAGTTTGGCAATATTATTCCGTGCCATGTGTCTAACCATCATTTCCTTTGATTCATTGAATACTCGCGGAAATGTTTAGCACGTAAATGCTTTCGTTTTAAAACGTCCGACCTCCGACTAACAAACCATCCAACCAGTTGCATAGGATTAAAAATGTCAACCACTCACTCACCCCGTCTTAACATTCCAAAGAAGTGCGGTTCCTGTCTCTCGTTGTGCTGGATGAAGTCACTGCGAAGTCATTGGGAGTAACCAAAATAGTCCCAAACAAGGCCGAGCATTTTTCTTTTACTAGTCTCGAGTTCGGCCGGCAAATGCTGCCGCCATCTGCCTCAGCCCACTCGTGCTGAGCTCTGAGAGCGGGAAAACGCGACTGGCCTCCCTGCCCTCTGCCTGGCGCGTGATGTGCATTACAACCAATGTCGTCCCCTGTCCAAACTCTGTGTCAGTGTATAGATGAAACGCATCTGCTGATTTGCCGCACCAGTCTGTGACGTCACGTTATAAAAAAGAATACCGATTACATAGCAGTAGGCTTGCGGTACGACGGTATTACGTATACCAGGGTATTCGAAATCCACCGCTCGGTATTGATTTTTCAAATACCGTTACGTCACAGCGACGTGCGCCAAATCCACAGATGCGTTTCATTCTATTACACTGACATACCAGGGTATTTGGAAATCCCGTCGGTATGATTTTCAATACCGTGACGTCACAGACTGTGCGCCAAATCACAGATGCGTTTCATTCTATTACACTGACACGGAGTTTTGACAGGGACGACATTGGTTGTAATGCACAGCACGCGCCAGCAGAGGGCAGGGGAGGGCAGTCCGTCTTTCCCGCTCTCAGAGCTCAGCACAGAGCTGAGCTGAGCAAGATGGCGGCAGCATTTGCCGGCCCCGAACTCGGAGAACTAGTAAAAAAGAAAAATGCCTCTGCGCCTGTTTGGGACTATTTTGGGTTTACTCCCAATGACTTCGCCAGTGACTTCATCCAGCAAAACGAGAGACAGAGGCACTTCTTTGGGAATGTTTAATACGGGGTGAGTGAGTGTTGACATTTTTTAATCCTATGCAACTGGTTGATGGTTTTGTAGTCGAGGTCGGACGGTTTTAAAAACGAAAGCATTTACGTGCTAAACATTCACGCGAGTAATCCAATGAATCAAATGGAAATAAGGTTAACACATGCACGGAATAATATTGCCAAACTACTTAGTGAATATAGCAAACTTTATTCAATAAGTATTTACTCCCAGAAAATCTTTATGTATGATGATATATTGTTAACTTAGCTCACAATGGAAACAACGTCGGACATCTACAAACGCGTCCTGTATCCGATCTCGAAATGTGCCATTTGCACAATGTGTCATGTTTGCAGCCCTTGTTTTGCAGTTGCGCGCACGTCGCGGCACTTTGCGAGCGTCTACCGGCTCGGGCTGCATTTTACACCGAACATATAATATACCGTTCGAAACATCTATTTGCCGCCATTCGAACGCCACCTCACTCAAGTCGACCCAAGTCATACCGTCATATACCGTATACCACGGTATGATGTCAGAAAGGTGTGACGGTATGAAAAAAATGATACCGCTCAAGCCTACTTCACATCCTCTAGTGGGGTCCGGGGGTACCCCCCCGGGAAGATCTTTAACATTTTAAAGTAAAATGCTTCAATCTGGTGCACTTTGAGCGCCCAATTACTAGAGACTGATCTAGGGGGTACAACTCTAAACACCCATATGAAAAAGATCGGTTTGCATTTTATTAATCAAATAAATATGTGAACATTTTCAATAACCTACCACAGCCAATAACAAATAAATGCAACTTATTTTATTTTTGTTGTTCATTCATATCTTATTTTACCAGTTAACATTTATTTATTTATGCATATTTTTAAATCTCTCCAGTTTTAAACGATATTTTTGGTTTACTGTCCTATAGTAGGCTATACATTGGAATGATTTCAAACCTGTTTTTATTTATCCTAATAATGATAAAGGTGTGCCTTAGAAATATTTATTTACATAAATTGTGATCAATACGTTTGAGACTAAAGTTAACTATCTAAACCCTCAGAGTCCTTTACCTCACTGAGCCTCTCAGTCTGACATGACAGAACTCTCCCTCCACATTATTGTAGAAACAGCTTCTTATATCCGTTAGCGCAACAGAACAACAATCCCCGCCGGTACCGGTGCACCCCCTCTGCGTTCCAACAGTCCATTTAGCTTAGGAACCTTCCTAACCAAGTGAAATGACCCGGAAGTACGTCAGTGGCAGCCATGATAAGTGCCGTTTCCAATTCTCCAAATGAAAGGAAAGGAGGTTTCAAACTTATTTTATAACCTCCTTTACCTTAGGAACCACTGGACCTCCCTAACCAAATGGAGAGGAGAAAATGCTGCCCGACAATGCCTTTCAGCCGCAGCATTTGCGTAACACAACAGTCGGCCGTTCACGGAAACAAATGATTATGACGGAGAAATTATATCATGAAAGTTACGGTGCTTATTAAGCATTTTAAAACGTATGTGGTAAGTCGCCAAAGTGCTTTGTTTTGAACGTTCATCAGTATTATAATGAAAAAGAGAAATATGAACGTTAGTTTTTACTGAAATGATCAAATAAAGTCAACATTTCACTGAGCTGTGTGGGGTTTGTTCAACTTTTAAAAGATGTTTGAATGGTGATGTACACAGTGATAGGTGTTAAGGACTAACGTTTATAATAAATACATTTGTATTGNACAGATCATTGCAGCATTACCCATAATCCCCTCTGTTTCAGCCCTGTTTCCAAAGTGCTGGTTCTCTGGTTGCGTTCCAATAGTCCATTTATCTTAGGAACCTTCCTAACCGAGTGAAATGACCCGGAAGTACGTCAGTGGCAGCCATGTTAAGTGCCGTTCCAATTCTCCAAATGAAAGGAAAGGAGGTTTCAAACTTCCTTTATAACCTCCTTTAGCTTAGGAACCACTGGACCTCCCTTACCGAAAGGAGA